TGAAGGCCACTCATGTTTCTTACAGCGAAATGAAGCAGATTTTCTCTTGGCAGTAACGATCTCCCTGAATGTGTCAGCAGATGGAAAACACCCATTCCAAAAATAAATCTTGGGACAACTGCAATTTAAAAAGGCCATAAATGGTCCTTACAAGTATTCCAGCAGTACGGTGATGGACTGGGAACAAGGTCTCCAGAATGTGTAATAGATAGCACATGGAGAAGCTCTTTCAGTTAGCAAAGCAAAAGGAAAGAAGGCAACATTGTCCAAAAATGGCAGATGGGGGGCTGGGACTTTCTTTCTTTAAAAAACCAAAAATTACTTACTTCCTTAAAGAAAAAAAAATCCAGGAAAATCGACTCTGGGGGATGGGGCTGGGATAGGATAGGGGAGAATGAACAGTAAAGGACCTTTTAAGTGTAGGGGAAAAAGGGGGAAATTAGCCTAGAATTCAGCTCAAACAGGAGAAGCCCTTTAGCACGTACCATGTGTAACCAGGGTATAAGAAGGCAGGGCATTTGTGCCGACTTTTCTGTCTCCTCTTATTATTATGACTAGTGGATTGATCCCATTTCCTGTGTCCCCGGGCTTCTCCTGGCACCCACAAGCATTTCCCTCCAGCCTCCCCCTTCTGTCCATCCCCTCTTTGCTATTCTTGGTTCTTCCACAGACACCTTCCATCCACCATCACCTACTGGAGCCAGGGAAATGGGCCCTAAACTTTCTCACTCATTGTTCTTGGGGCTAATACTCAGGGTGTCTCTTGGAGTTGACAGTGCATTCTGGCTTTAAAATCTCAGTGAGTGTGTGTTCACACTGTTCAAGAATGCGGTAGATGTGTGGATTCTGCCACGCTATCCAGGAGAAAAGCGAGTCCATGTGGTGATTTTTATGGGGAGCAATGCCAGTTCTTCCAAAGTCATTCTAAATTCTTCGATCACTAACTAGACCAATTCCCTGGTTTCATGTTCCACGGATATCACAAACCTGACTCAGAGAGGTTGAGAAAGGCTCCTTGCTTCCAGCTTGGCGAGTCAACAAAATAGCTTTCTCTCTCTCCCTCTTAATATGGGCATTTCTACTCTCACAAAAGAAATCTATTTTCGTTGACCACACATGCTGTGTTCAAGAATATATCCATCTCTAGAAATCAGAATCTGAACTTCCTTTTTTAAAATAAACCATGATATATGATACTGTAATAGTAGGCACAAGTTGGGTTTTTCTTTTTTTAGAAACATGTGGTTAAATGCTTGCCACAACCTATAGAATATGCAACACAAAGAATGAACTGAACCCCGGTGTAAACTATAGACTAGTTAAGGATAACGTGTGGCTGGCCCATCAATTGAATCAATTGCACGGCACCCATGCTACATCTCAACAAGATGGGAAACTGTACGGAGGACACAGCATACATGGCAACGTGCTACTTTCTGCTTCATTTTTCTGGAAATCTAAAACTTCTCTAAAAAGTCAAGTCTCTTTAATTGCAAAACTAGAAGGCACTAGATAAGCACTTTGGTTTTAAGATCTTTGATGATATCAAAGGTTGTCTCGTGGAATTAGCATGAACTGCCGGGGAATGGCAGCAGCAGTGAGCCGTGCAGAGGCAGGTGGATCTCTCCCACTGCACTAACGAGATGCAACACTGACTTCTGGCTGCCTCTGATCAAGCTGGACACATCTAAAGCCCAGTGGAGCTGGATCGCTTTCATCAGAACCTTCAACTCTCCAACTGGAAGGGACTGCTGCCACTCCTGAGGTGGTAATTGTGTTTTAACATTTTTAGGCTTTACATATTGTACAGTAGCTTGCCCTGTTGCTGCTATGTCTCATGCTGGAGAAGACATGGGGCTGTTCTCCCCCCACCCTGACCTTTACCCTTGACCTCTGCCGTTGCAATGTGGTATGTGCAGGGAATCCAGGGACTGTTACTGAGAGCAACACCTGGGCTTGGCTTCCTCTGGCAGTGTAGGTTTTGCTGGTCTGAACATTTTGTACTGTTTGATAACCTGTTGTCAACTTCTGACCATGTTCAACCCACTGAAGGATCTTGCCAAACAGCCTGTAAGTGAGCACACAAAGCCTCCTGTGGACCTTTCTATTTATTTGACCTTAAAGTGGCTCTGAAAGAAGCCTGAGTCAAATGACCTTCTTCCAAAAATGCAAGCAGCTGTCAGAGAGCCGGGTGGGGTCCCAGCACAGCAGCATCCCAAACAACACAATGTTGCTGAATGCCCACCTTAACCCCTGTATATCTATAACAGGGGGTGTGGTTGCTTATTAAAAAGGGTAGCTTTACAGATGTGGTAAATCATTGCCCACTGGAGATGTGTGTGTGTGTGTGTGTTTGGCGTGGAGAAGGCAGTAGCAGAGCTGATGTGTGAGTAGAGGCAAAAGGAGGAGAAAATGAGAGGAGGGCAGGAGAGGATGCTGGAATCAAACAGCCAGGATGAAAAGGTGAAGATGCAGAACGCGGGCCAGAGTGTCTCCCTGCACTGACTGCACAGTGGAATCACTGGTTAGCAAAACAATGCTAATTTCCTAGCAAGAAGGGAGGGGTGAGGACGGGGGGCGGGCACTTGGGTGCAATTGGTGGGTGATCCCACGGTCGCATCGCAATGTTCCGGGCTGCAGCCCAAGGCCCAATGTTCTGGTTCTGGCGGGCTGCAGCGTCCGGGGTGGCAGAACCTGGGAGCCGCCTTCCAGTCCCCTGCCATGAATTCTCCCCTTTGTCCCGGGATTTCTTCCACATTTTCCTCACTGTGGGTCTAACCGCGACGGGTTCCTGACCCGTGGCTTTTTTTTTTCTTTTTTCTTTCTTCTCTGTAATGCAGGAGGAAATCCTGAGAAAACGTCTTTAAAATCCTGAAAAAAAAAAAAACTGCTGGCGGCGCAAATTGTGGCACCTGGCCTGGCCGTGACCCCGGCCAGGCTGTGAGCCGGGCTGAGTGGACCATGCGTGTGGAGCAGCCGCCTGGGGCCGGGATGCCGCTGCAGGAGCTCAGCTGGTTCATTTCTCACTCGGAGCCGAGGCGTAGGGTGTAGATTTGGGATAACTAGCTGGAGGACAGTGCCCACTCATCAACTAATTGGATCTTTCGCACTCATCTTCATTTAAAAATCAGCAGTTCAGAGGTTTGGATATTAGTTTGAGACAATCTCCTTAATCAAAAATGTATTACCAATGGCAAATAATTCAGGGCATATTTAACTGCATCTTTTCTTGGAGTTAAACACATGCGGTTACCTGAAAAATCACAAAAGAACTTCCTCTTTCTCTTAACACCAGTGACACATCCCATGGTCTTGTTTCCACAACGCCTCCCTGTATTACAGCAACTGTCAATAATGAATTAACTGTCCCTTTGACTGCTTCAAATGCGGCTTTTAATTAAGCATATTAACCTGGTGTATCATCATTTGAGCATCAACTAAAATAAGATGATATGCATTTTAAGCTTTCGGGTGCCTGCAGATCATGAAAAGCACTTTATGAGGCTTGCATTAATGCATATTTCATTATAATGTAATTCTATATTAGATATTCCACTTACGCGTAGAGCCAAAATAGTTTCTGAGCTGTAGCGATGTCGATGTAAATGAATAAATCACAAGGAATTGAGAAAACTTAACTCTTCGTGTATCTCAACGTTGTCATGTTTATAAAGGAGTTCTTTGCAGGACAGAATCTCATCTTTAATTAATCTAGAGAATGACAACACTTGAGTTTCAGGTGGGATTGGTGGTATAGGATGAATGCCAAGCTTCTTCTGTGCCATATTTAATGATTAGGCAAATGCTGAGCCACGCTGGGGTTTTGCATTTGTGCCACACAGTGTAGGCGAAGGTTTTGCCACGCTAAACTGCAGGCAGGAAGGCTCGTGGGTCAGCGTGACTACACGGAGAAGCACATACAGGGGTGGGCACTTAGCACAGTGGTCCAGATGCCACTTGGGGCATCTAGATTCCAGATAAGCATGCCTGGGTTCGAGTTCTGGCTCTGTTCCTGACTCCGGCTTCCTGACAATGTAGATTGTGGCAGGAGACAGGCTCATGTGGGAGACCTGGGTTTAATTTCCTGGCTCCGGCCCTCAGGTGGCTCTATCCTGGCTGTGGCAGGCATCTGTGGGGGTGACTGGATTCTCTCTCTTTCAAATAAATAGAATCTGAGAGAGAGAGAGAGAGAGAGAGAGAGAGAGAAGTGCATGGTCACTGTGTCAGCAGCCCATTCACCTCCACAGGTCTGCTGTGAGGCAGCCTGAGCAGGATCAGTAATAGACCTTCTACAATTTTTATAGCTTCCCGAGTTATTTCTGAGTCAGTGCTAGCATGCAATTATTTCCTGTTGAATAAGGAACAAAACAAGCCTAAAGACTGCAAGGAAAAGCTCCAGTGGGGAGCGGTCCCCTCCAGATGGAAGTTTGCTAGCAGAGTGCGATTTGTGACTCAGAATGAGCCCAGATTACTGCGCCATCTGGGTGGGTGCAGAGCCTGTAGGCACTGATTCAGTCATCCAGAAGGTCCCCCCCACCCACCCCGAACACCTTGCTCTCTGCACTGCTGACCCACTGGGCCCTAGGCAACAAAGGTGCCTCAGCAATGGTGTCTGGAGCAAGGGAGTCTATTCATTTGCTCATTCATTCATTTAGCCAAGCATTTCCTGAGCATCAAAGACGGACAGTGTCTACTAGGGGAGAGAAGCACGTAAACATGGAGTAAATTACCATATGGCATGATAAAATCAGCTCTGGAGATGGGGAAAATGCTATGCAGCTCAGAGGTGGAGAGAGAGCCTGACTATATTAGGAATAGCCAGGAATCTTCACAGAAAAGGAGACCTTCAACGTGGAGGAAAGAAGGGAAAGGTCATTCCAGGGAAAAGGGACGGGCAGGAATACACAGTCGTGGCGCTCAGGATTCTTGCTGGGGAGGAAAAAGAAACTAAGATGCTCACAGAGAGAGCTCTGGCTCTCAGACAGGAAATGCAGCTAGAGAAACAACTCTACGCATTGTTTACATCACGTTCAGGCTCGGGCTTTAGTCTGTGTATCAAGAATGGCAAAGCCCCGCGCTCCCTCCTTCCAGGCTTCGCGGCAGATGTCCCCAATCTGGCACGATGGCGCTCCTTCCTGCTAAACCGAAGCCAAACCTTGGAATTCTCTACTCAGGTTTCAAGGGGCCACGCCCAGCTTTTTAGTGTTAGTACATGGAAGAAGTATATATTCATCGTCTTTGCTTACACTGAAAGGAAACTGCATTTTTAAAAAGAGAGTGATGAAGATTTGATCGCTGGGAGGATTATTTGAAGCAGCGCACTGCACAGGAAGAAGGGGGGAGCCCTGAATTAGGAAACGGAGTGCTTTATAGGGTAAGTCATTGGTTCTTAACTTGGGTATAACATTGTTAAACCTAAGTCAGGGGGTAGGAATCATGCCTAGTCGTTAAGACACTTCTGTCCAGCATTGTAGTGCCTGGGTTTCATTCCGGGCTCAAGTTTTCCACACATGCAGACCATGGGAAGCAGTAGGATGCTGGCTGAAATAATGGGGTTCTGGTCACCATGTCTGAAGCCTAGACTGAATTCTACTCTCACTGCTCTGGTCCTGGCTCAGATCTGGCTGTTTTGGGCATTGGGGAGTGAACCAGGGGAAAGGAGTCTCTCAAATAAAAAGGAAGCCCTTACATGTAGGCTACACCCAAGATCAGTTCATCCAAAGCAAAGCGAAATAAAATCCAAGCAATACACATGAGCCCAAAGGTTAAGATCTACTTGTAACCTACAGGGAAAAAAACATGTGTTCGTTTGTTTCACAGCAGCAGTTTTATCTTCTTCCCTATGGACTGGGGGAGGAGAAAGATGACTTGAAGAGGAGGGAAAAGGTTTGTAGAGTGCTACCATACACTGCTTTCTGGATGGTCGGCTGAGATTTACACACACGTACAGTGTTTCACTGAATCCCCTACATGAATCCCCCCGGTAGGTCTTTAATATCCTGTTCGCAGATGAGTGACACAATCTCAGGGACCTGAGTAACTTCTAATGCACAGAAGGCAACCCATGTCAATTGCAGTTGCCAACACATCCAGGCAGTCTTCGGCACAAAGACAGGAGGGGATGTGTTTCTCTCCGGGTCCGGACCAGGCCATCCTCACCCTCCATTCTTTTCCTGATTGCCTCAAATATTTATTTAAAAACACAAGGACTGCTGTAATAATAAGGGGAGAAATGAAGCAATGAGACAATGGGGAGGGAGGAATCCCGTGGAAAATAATAATAATTAAAAAGCAAATAAAATAAAATAAAATATAGTACCCTTTCCCTGGGTAGGTGTGGATTCTTAGTTGTGATTCTTGTGAACAAAGAATTCAAAGAGTCCCTCTCTGAAATCACTTTAAATATCCTTTTGCAAATGTCTTTAAAAATTAGATTTGCCTTCCCCCTTGTTATTTGGCCATCAAATAATAGTTTATGTTTATCTAATGATCAAACTATGCCAGGACTGGTAAACAGGAAATGAATAGTAGTTGTAATATTCATGGTAAAAATAAATTCTTACTTTGCTGAAACTTCTAGATGGTACATAAGCAAGTCAGCTCTAAATTGCCAGTTCCCAGGCACTGGAGTTGTGGTGCAGTGTGTTAAGTTGCTGTCTGTGACTCTAGCATCCCATACGGGGCTACCTGTTCAAGTCCTAGCTGCTCTGCTTCTGATCCAGCTCCCTGCTAATGCTCTTCGAAGGCCAGTGGGAGAGGACTCAGATACTTACTTGGTTCTCTGCCAAAAACGTGGACGATGCAGATGGGGTTCTGAACTCCTGGCTTCCACCCAACCCAGATCATGTTATTTTAGTTTGGGGAGTGAAACAGCACACTTTCAAATAAATAAAATAAGTCATGAAAAAATGCTGTCAAGCCATGATGTGCAGGTAATTTGACAATGTGAATCTTATCTATCAGGCAGCAGGTGACGACCTCAGAGGCAGGCTGTGGATGCCTGGCTTCGGAGGGTTGTGTCAGTGTGGCTGGGTGCGCTTTAGAGTTCACCTTGGTGATGGTGCCTGAAGTGGATCTTCTGGCAGAGTGTAAGATGCCTGATGCTGAGTCTAGATGCTTTCAGTGATCAGGCCTTCTTAGTTTTCCCAGCAATAGAGCCAAATAACGGGTGTTTTCTTTATTTGCTATGGTTTATTCTCTTGGAAAAATCTTGCACATTTCATTAGCATCTGGTTTTTTTTTTTTTTTAACTTACTGTGGAAGGAGGAACTAGAACCCAACTTAACAGCTGTGTTCTATGGAACTTTAAAGTTTCTTAATTGGTGAAGTGGCCCTTAAAGGAGGTCAAGAGGAAAGACAGAAGAAGAGTTGACATGTAAGTTGTAACATTTCTATTCTATCTTCAACCAGAGCAGTTTACTTTTATTAATTTTATAAATGGAAAAACAACCTGCTGTAACTGATGTGAAAAACAACTGTTCTAGAAATGTTTGAATAAAATGTTTGCATGTGACCATCATGAAGTTAACTGACATGGTATTGAGTGGCCAATATGTTAGAAAATGCAAGTTCTTAACCATATCCTGTGACTACTTCATTGACATTTCAATTTTAGTTTATACACAACTGGCTGCTATACACCTTAAAATGGCTATAGGGTACTATTCAGCTGTCTTGTGTCTATTTTCATTTTTATATTTAGCAGCTTATAGTATTCAAGTGTGATTTTTACTGAACTTTGTGAATTTTAGGATAGTCCAAACAGGCTTATAACTCAAACATGCCATATGTTAACAATTGAGGAGCAGAACAGTTTTAGGAGGGGTGTGCAGAGAAATCTTCAATACCTTAGTGAGGAATAACTAATCTTTGTGTCCTACCTAGTAAGGTATATGTGAGTCCAAGCTGACTGTTTCCTGTCTGTTCTAAGCTTTCCTTATTGGTCTCTATCTGATCTAATTTTGGAGGCGCTCCGGAGCGACCCTGATGGTCATTGCAAGAGAGGGTGGGGAGCCAAAGTTGGAACTAAGTAAGGACCAGAGAAAGCTCCTCTCCCTAGTCCCGAAGGAAGTTTACTGTTCTTCTGTTTCTGCGGACTGCTCAGGGCTCCTGGCTGTTGTTCTGATGACATTAGACCCTGTGAGGAAGGATCTGGGCTTCTTCCATCCTGTGTGGGAGATCCGATAGGGAATGGATGACCTCAGAGTTCTCGGCCTCCGAAGGCACTCCAATTCCCTGTGGTCTCCTTGGCAGTTGGGATATAGTCCTTGGTGCCCATACTGTTAGTCCTTGGTGAGGATCCGGGAGTCTCCAGGGTTGGGATACAAGCCTCCTCCTGTCCTCTTGCTCCACTCTGGGGTCCCCCTTGCTTGCATATGACCTCCTGTTAAGAGGCTGTCAGGATCACTCTTGGATCCCACTGTATGTCTTTATAGTTTTTGCTAATGTCTAATGCAGATTTGAGTCTGCTGTCTGTAAGTTACCTGTTACAATCTTGATAGGTTATACTTAACATCTTCCTCACATTCTGAGAAGGTGGAAGATTTTTCTGCTCTCCCGACCCATTATGCAATAGCATAGGGTAGTAAAAGCATATCAGGCTTTTCAATTCTTTGAAGTAGCTGAATTTCTGACTTTAATAACTTTGATATCCAATTTCGATCCTGTAGCTGTTCAGAGATGATGCATGACTACACAGAGAGGAGTTGTCCCAAAGACCTAGATCTTGTCACTCAGCAGAGGCCTGGCTCCATCTGCAGGCCTTTACAACATGGCCTGTGGATTCAAATGGATATTAGAGATAAAGATTGAACAATCCTGGTTACTAGATTCTTTGAGAAACAGCATTTATTATCAAAGAGCTATTGGGAGCTGACATGCTAAGAAGTAGCAGGTAGGCCAAGGGAAGACGTGAGGGAAGACTCAGTCACCTATGCACTGGGGAATGCTCTCACAGCGGGTGGAAGCATCAGCTCTAGCCTCTTGTTCATGGTCCAAGCTAGTCCTACATGACTTGGAACCTCAGTGCTCTCTTCTGTAGAACAGACAGAGTAGCAACATCTGCCTCCTCGAGGGGATTGGACAGAGTCATGCATGCCAAGTTTTAGCAATGCATGGCAGAACATAAAGGCTCAATACCAACAGCTGTGATTTTAAAGTGACCTGAGTAGTCATTTTCTGCATGAGAACGTGATAGCTAGCTATACTAATATGTACTGCTAATCCCCAAATCACAAAGTAATGGCAAGGAAGGCTTTCTAAGAAATCAGAAAATATGATCACTGGAAAAGTAAAAACAAAACTTCAGAGCTAAGGATGCTCATTCTTGCTACTTCTATTTAGCATGGAACTGAGAGTCCTAACAAGAGCAGTTAGATAAGAAAAGTGGATTGCGAAGCAAGACATAAAATTAACATTGTTCGTGGATGACAGGATGTTACCTGCATAAAACTAAAAATTCTGCAGAAACACTTCTTGGAATTAACAAATGAGTTCAGTAAAGTTGCAAGCTTCAGCTGTCTTTCTATTTTAGAAAAATGTATTTCAGATGAGAGAGTGTATGTGTGTTCTCTATGGCTCACCACCCAAATGCCCAAAACTGCCCCTGCCTGGGCTGAAGCCTTCCCAAAGTGTGCGTCATCAAGAAACCTAACTCAGGAGCATTGCTGGGCCGTGAACTACAGTGTCCCAAACTAGTATCTTGACCACTAGGCCAAATGTCTTCCTCAGTTGCATTTCTGTACATGAACAACAACTGGGTCAAAAAAGGAAATTAAGGGGATCATCATTTTGGAATAGCAGGTTAAGTTACTTTTGGGGACAACAGTATCCCATAACTGGTTCCAGCCCCAGCTAATCCACTTCTAGTCTAGCTTCCTGCTAATGTAACCTGGGAAGGTAGTGAAAGATGACCGTACTACTTGGGTCGTAGCAACCCTATTAGGACAACAGAAAGGGGTTCCCAACTCCTGGCCTTGGCTTGGTCTGGACCTGCCTGCTGCTGTCTTCTGGGAAAATGAATCAGTGGACAGAAGATCTTTTTTCTCTTTCTGCATTTTTCCTTCTCCTTACTTCTGCCTGTCACTCTGACTTTCATGTAAATAAATGTCTTCCATAGATCTTCCACCCACTAGTTCGCTTATTAAATGGTGACAATGACAAGGGCTGAGCCACGCTGAAACCAAGAGCCAGGATTTCATCCCAATGTCTGCTGTGGATGCAGGGGCCTGAGGATTTGGGTTATCTCCTGCTGATTTCCTATGGCATGATCAAGGAACTGGATTAGAAGTGGAGCATCGAGAGGTTGCCGAAGTGGATGCCAGTGTCACAGGACGTGGCTTTAACCACTATACCACAATATTGGCTCCATAAATC